TAGAATCATAGAATCATAGAATGGTTTGGGTTGGAAAGGACCTTAAGATCATCCAGTTCCACCCCCCCTGCCATGGGCAGGGACACCTCACACTAAACCATGCCACCCAAAGTAAACCATGTCACCCAAGTTCAACAGGAGTGAGGAATGGGAAGGTCCTGGGTGGACAATATGGTCATTGGGGCAGAACACAGGAATTCTACCCCATTTCTTTGAAAAGTGGGGGGAAAAGCCCCAGATGACATTGCAATGAATGCTGGAAATTTCTGAGATCTTTTAAATAGCTGCAGCAATGGGCACGATTGTGTCTCATACACAATCTATTGATCAATAAATTCCAGTGTCTTCATTCCTTATTTGCTCTCTTTGAGGCTAGATCTTTATCAGGCTCTTCAAGACCAGTACAGGCATGAAAATAATTATGGACAAATGAACTTTTGTCTTAATACCTTGGTTTTAATATTTTGGGCAGGTTCAGGATGGCAACGTCAGTGTCAGCTACGATGCAACCCGCTACCCTTCCCTAACTGCAGTTTAGGTAGCTGAAGGATACAGCTCCCACTGCTTACAGAAGGGGGCAGTGATGTTTCACGTGTTGGGACCAGCATCACCAGCTACGCAAAAGCCCCTGCTCTCCTTAATGCAGAAATAGAAATGGCCAAGATGTGCTCTTGCAATCTCGCTTCCTCCTGCTACAATCACGCTGCCTACTTGCTACTTTATTTCCTCCAAGAAAAGAAGTCCCAGCTTGGAGGAAGCAGTAATGGCAGTGCATTGCACAGAGCACTCCTGAGACCTCTCTGGCTCAAAGGGCAAATTCACAGCCGTATTTCAAGCTGTACATAAAAATTCTAACTACCTGCTACCTGTTAGTTTCGCCATGTGGTTTGTTTGGCCTCAGACCTTCTGACATTACAGCTTGTCAGTGACATTTTGTGATTCCCATTTATAGTGCTTCGCCTTTCAGCCCTGGTTTGGGGAAGATGAAATCAAATGAGGGATTGTTAAAACAAGTGACCATATGTATACAGCAGGCAGGCTTCTATTCGAAGAACAGCTTGCATTGTCAAGATATCACATGCCAGGTTTGATGGATTGTGTGATTTTAAGTGAGTTCACACATGCAAATGCATGACAAGGCAGTTTCATGATAACGTTGCACATGGTACCATATTGTTCTATGGCTCCTGCTGCACAGAGTACACGGGATGGACAGTGTTACTGAGTGGCTCCCCATAAGAAATGTCTCTTCATTGTTTGCTCTACCTGACTTAACCTAATAATAGGAAATAGGCGTAGCATGAGGGGTGGGAATCATGGAAGCGATGCCAAGCATCTTCTCTTCTCTGGCCTTTTACCCACCCACAAAGTTGCTTCCAGACCTGCTCCCCCAACTCATCAATCTGAGCACGTCCTCCTTTCTGCATCTCTTCCTTTGCTTCCCTTTATCCCTTACATCAACAGAGGCTTTCTCACTCTGGTTCAAGAGGTGTTGCAGCTCTTCTCTGCATTTCTTACCACTGACGTCCTGCTGGGCCCCCAGGATGTTCTGTAGGAGTCAGGAGGTTCATTTTGATCATTATTTTATAGTGAGGTTGCTCTTGCATTCCAGCTAATGGTGGTGTGGTCTTTATCCCTTCCTCCTAAGCTTTTCCAATGCCTTTTCAGATGTAAGAAGCAATTGTAAGCCTCCACCAACTGTACTATTGTATAATTTAGACTTTGCTTTTCCTTTGATTCCCATTGGAAAACTGGGGACAGTTAAACACCTTGTGACAGAGATTCTTTCCCTGTGTGCTGATACGTGCCAATCTCTGTCATTTTTGCTTTATCCTGTCAGCTGTTCTGTGCATGGGATGCAAGGGGTACATGGCCCCTCAGGAAACTGGAAACCGGGTCCTCATCCTTGCCTGGTACCTTGGTGAGTAGCTCTGCCTCTTTGGGCAGATATCTGCCCTGTCAAGTTCAGTCTCTGCTGTTTGAGAAGTAGAAGCATTTGTTAAAAGCCTTATGAATAATTAACCAAGTCAATTTTAACACAATGAAAGCAAAATCATTTCCACGGTAAGTTTACATCTAAGCAATTATTAAAACCTTCAATTCCAAAGTTGATCAGATGGTTTATACAGTCCTCAATGCATCTCTGAGGTGAAAATGCTTCTTGATTAAAAGAAATCTATTGTGCATGCACTCCATTGCCAAAGGAATTCTCATCTTAGAACATTTCTCAAATGACAAAAGGACACAGAATCTTCCATTCATTACTGAAACAAACACACCAGGAAGAAAAACAATCTCATCCTTAATTTATGCTGAAATTCAGTACCAAAATCACTAAAATCCATATCCCTTTCCATATTGGAAGATCTTACATGGTCTCATTCACCTTTTCTACAGCTGTATCAGTGCTTCAGCTCCAGTATTCCATCTGAATTGACAGATTGACAGAGCCTTTTATGCTGCCATTACCTGGATTTACTGGTTTTAAAAATATTAGCTACGCATTTTGTGAAAAACACTATTATTTGGCATTTCCTCTTTTTGTTTTGCTTTATTTGTTGGTATATTTCACAATTGTCCCTTTTTAGGTTGTATTTGAATAGTCAGGACATTACCACCTTTCTGCATTGCATTACCCACATATGATCTGAGCATAGAAATGATGAGGTTACAATTACTGGGAGAGACCACATCATCACATATGGACTAACGACCTAGAAACACCCACCCAGCTATCACAGCCCAGTCTACATGGTGTAATTAGCCAGAGGTGCACCACAAACAGGAGATGGAAGCTGTGGGTTCACCTTCCTCTATGATGGAAACTGAGTATTTACCAAGGCACAAACCCCCATCTGAGCACATCAAACACTGAAGCCTGGCCTCAGATAAAGACACAGATTTAAATCCTATTTCTGCCTCATTAAGGCCCAGAGAGTAAATCCAGACTTTTCAGGTCAGAAGCCTTTCAGTCACTCATGAAACATTATTCTGCAGCTTCAAGAGGAGAGCACCTTCACAAAATGCACATATTCTGCCTCAATCCAGAGGTAAGAGGGGTGAGCAGGTGTCTGAGCTGCACATGGCACAAGTCCCTCCTGGTGGCCAGCAGACTTGCTTACAGGTAATAGCTGTGACAATTGTCCTTTTTGGGAAGCAGACTCTGTTATCCACCCCTAAGCCCAGAAGAAACCAATGATTTTCAGCTGGGAAGACTCTTCCCTCTCCATTGTCCCACTACAGCAGTTTCAGATGGGGCAGGTTAGTGTGTCTGGGGAAAGTTCTTCCCAGCTTCCTGATTTCTGCTTGCTTTCAGCAAGGTAGCTTGTAAGGGGAAAAGGAGGGAGAAAGCAAGAAATGTTGAGGAGGGAAACACGAGATGTCCTCACTTGCTGAAGTGTAAAGAGAAGGAGCCATGTGGAAAGCAGCTTTCACCATGGTGGCCTGTAGCATGCCTGCCTTCCTCTGCCATGGGAGGTGAGTTCTCCCTAAGCTACTCTACAGTGTGTAACAACTCCGTACTCAACAGCAACCTGTAATCTTTCACCTTCTGTTGTCGGATACATTTGGCTTTTTTTCTGTGTGTTGGAAAAGGACCATGATGTTCCTGGGTCTTAGCTGCAGGATCAGCATCTCTGCCAGGACAGTACTCAAAATCTTATTTCTTGATGTAGCCCTTGAGGGTTTGGAAGATGTCTTTTGGGGAATAATTTGAATGTGCCGTGGCTTGTGGTGTATACTGCCAACGATATTATTGGGTTTTCCTATTGAATTCTAGGATGAATTACTTCATAAAATCACACAATAGGTAGAGTTTGAAGGGACCTTAAAGCTTATCCAGCTCCAACCCCTGCCACGGGCAGGGACCCCTTCCACTAGAGCAGCTTGCTCCCAGCCCCTGTGTCCAACCTGGCCTTGAACACTGCCAGGGATGGGGCAGCCACAGCTGCTCTGGGCACCCTGTGCCAGCGCCTCAGCACCCTCACAGGGAAGAGCTTCTGCCTAAGAGCTCATCTCAGTCTCCCCTGTTCTGTCAGGTTCAAGCCATTCCCCTTGGCCTGTCCCTACAGGCCCTTGTCCAAAGCCCCTCTCCAGGTTTCTTGTCAGCCCCCTTTAGGTATAGGAAACTGTTACAAGGTCTCCCTGGAGCCTTCTCTTCTCCAGGCTGAAGCCATCTATCTTTCTCCACTAGTGCCTACTTAGTTTAACCTCTCTCTGCAGGCAGACCTCAGCCCCTCAGTTAAGTTCCTGGAGTAAGAACTTAGGCCAGGCTGTCCTCTGCCAAGGAACAGCAGGATGGGTGAGTGGTCACTATGTGGCCTGAGTTTCAAAGTTTCCATAGTAAGAAAGATCAGTAGCTGCTCACACATCCCATGAGTTAGAAATACTTCTCTGAACTCCCAAAGATTTTAATGGAGGCATCAAAGTCCTTCAGATTAAACACAAAGTGCTTTTGATGTGTTTAAACTTTGCAGTAATAAGCCTGCAGACCCAAGCTGGGAAATAATATTAAATATAAACCTTTCAATTTGTAACAGTTAAGGAATGGAGCTGGAAGCTGTTACAGAATTTCATGTGGTATTGTTGATAGATGATGTTAATAAGTTGGTATCTGCTCTTGCTGGATCAAGGAGTCACTTCCCTTATTCAGGGATCAGCAGGGTAGCATTAAGCATTTGTGGCTGGTCTGCTTTCCCAAGGTCACTTTAATTAACCAAAATAACAGCAGGTGATAGAATATTTGAGCTAAAATGTAAATAGCAGTGAAGATAAATGAGGAATAACTGTAAATACATGTTCCAGTAGTACTGGTAATGGATAAGCAGTATCAGGTCTTATTTTATATAGAGGTACGTGGAAAGCTGACTGCCTTTAAAACAAATCCATCCATCTGGGCAAGCTGCAGGACAGTTAGTGTCCTGCAGAAGGCAAAGTGGAATCTGTTGACGATAGCTTTTTAAATGTCTTTATCTTACGTCTTTTGTGTTCTGGTTTTTAAGCTTGATTACCTTGGTCTAATTGCTCACTGGATGGGAAAAAGAGGCAGTGTAGAATCAAAGATAAGATACTTGTGATCAAGTGCCAGCAAAGGCTTTTGTGAAAATGCTAACGTGTCCTGTCTGTCAAAAAGTCACACTTTCGGAAGTGCATTGGTGTATTTGTATATTGGGGGGAGAAAAAGGCAAGTCTTGATGGAGCTAAGTCTATTACACTATCTCCCCTCTTCCCCATGGCTCATTGCTCAATCCAGTCAAATCCACACGGGGAGCACCATGCTTACCCATTTAGTGCCAGAACAGATATTTAGTGGAATTCTGAGTGTCTCGGATGCATTCAGAAACCCCTGGGCCAGCGGTTTCTCATTATAAAAGACTGAGTTTTGAATCCCTGCGGCACATACAAAGTGCAGCGATCCTGACACGAAAACGTCTGGGGTTTGAATGTGTTAAAAAGGGTCACGCTGGGTAATGACTTTTACATGTTAATTTCGTGAGGACAGCTGAACTCCAACTAAAGAATGATTGTAGAGTTACCCTCGTGAGTAGGCAGATTGATAAGAACAGTATGTGAAAAAGCTCTGCAATTGAACCAAACCATGTCACGGAAAAAACCAAATGCATCTGAGGCATTCATAATTCCGCTAAATGCCTGTTTCAGCACTAAATGCACAAGCATGGTATTCCCCGTGTGGATTGGATTGGATTTGGCAATGCACACTCTACTTCTCTTTTGCACAAGCATGGTATTCCCCGTGTGGATTGGATTGGATTTGGCAACGCACACTCTACTTCTCTTTCTTACTTTCGGTGCCAAACACTTGGAAAATGTTCTTTCAGTTATCTAACTTCAGCTCTTTGGCCTCTTTTGTTTGGAAAGACCTAGACTGTAGCCTCACTTACACTCCTGGCTTGCTGGGGAATACTGATTTAACTGAGAGCACAGCTTCACCTGGTGCTGTTTAACATCCTAATCCTACACAGACACCAAAGTAATAGCTGTGCTTCTGCAGGACCCAGCAGCTCTGGAAGGTGCAGTGTGTTAAACTCACTCTGGGACTCACCCTTCCCTTGCTACTGTACGCCACTGGGTTTGGTGCAGGTATTTATTTTCCCCTCTTCATCTTAGAACAAAGGCAAAACTTACAGAAAATTCTGGGATAAAGAGAAGCACATATGGGGAAAGGGAACAGTAGGGAAGGTGCTACAGCGGGCAATATTCCTGTGTCTTACATGAGCATCATTACTGTACCACAGCAAATACTGACTAGTTGAACAGGGGGAATTACAACACATGCTTTGTTTTATTCTACCTACCAGAACGGTATGTGCCTAATTACTCCTAATTGTGTAAGCACATCTCAACATTTCCCATGACATAGTAGGCTTTGTGTTTAGTACTCGCAGAGCATGCCTTACAACCCAGTTCTCCCACTGCTCGAGTATTCCCGTCTTATCAGAAACGGCTGGGTTAAAGTGCCCACCTCTTCTGGTTATATCTGCACAAATTCTTGTCTGATTTAGCACTGTATCTGTCACTAGGATAATGATTCTTCTTGCATCCCTTCTTCACATGTTTTCTGAACTACCGATAAGGGGAAGTGATACATCTGTAGGGAAAGGTCACATAACACCGGGAAGAGGAAGGAGCCTTCTGTCAGTTATTTTGGGTTTGATGCATTGCTAATTAATGAATTGTGCCTGCTCCAAGAAGAACAGTGTTTTCATAATGCAGCAGTGTAACATGTCATTACACAACCTGACAACGTGAAAATAAGGTTGGAAGTTATCTGAAGTATTTTAGGATATACTCATTTATTTGGCATTTATCTTTCTGTAAGGCTTAAAGTGATAAATGACCTGGAGAGCTCCATGGGCACATCCACACTGTTCCCAAAGCGCAGGGCTAGAAGACAATAGGTCTCAGTTCATGCAAAGCTGGGTGACTAGGATTTTGTCCTATTCCCTTCCTGAATGGCTGAACACTGCAGTGTTCCCTGGTGCCTGTTGTTATGTATTACTATTCAGTTTGTTGTAGTTGCTGACCTAGGACAGGCAAAGCAGGTTATTATCTGCGGAGCAAAAAGGATGGTGCTCCCATTGCTACCCCCTTGGTGACAGCAGCAAGCTTGTCAGACTGATAGTGAGAAGTTTTGCTTACAGTGAGAAGTCAGAAGTGATGCTATTTATAGAATCCCAGACTGGTTTGGGTTGGGAGGGGCCTTCAAGCTCATCCAGCTCCAACCCCTGTCAGGGGACAACCTCCCACCAGAGCAGCTTGCTCCAAGCCCCTGTGTCCAACCTGGCCTTGAACACTGCCAGGGATGGGGCAGCCACAGCTTCTCTGGGCACCCTGTGCCAGAGCCTCAGCACCCTCACAGGGAAGAGCTTCTGCCTAAGAGCTCAGCTCAGTCTCCCCTCGGGCAGGTTCAAGCCATTCCCCTTGGCCTGTCCCTCCATCCCTTGTCCCAAGCCCCTCTCCAGCTTTCCTGCAGCCCCTTCAGGCACTGGAGCTGCTCTCAGGTCTCCCCTTCAGGAGCCTTCTCTTCTCCAGGCTGCCCCAGCCCAGCTCTCTCAGCCTGGCTCCAGAGCAGAGCTGCTCCAGCCCTCGCAGTATCCCCATGGCCTCCTCTGGACTCACTCCAACTCCCTCTTGTGCTGTTGCCCAAGAGCTGGACTCCAGGAACGCGGGTAGGGAGGGGGCCACAGGGCTGGATGTCTCCCCAGAGCAGAGTAGAAGGGAAGAATCACCTCCCTTGACCTGCTGGGCACACTGTTGTTGATGCAGCCCAGCACACAGTGTGGCCAAAGATACCATCTGAAATGCAATTTGCTGCTTAGCAGTTGAGTTTTCATAGGTGTTGAAAGGTTAGATGTAGAATACAATCAGACAGCACTTGCTTTTAACATTTAGAGATGTCTGAAGTTGATTCCTGCAGGTGATTGATTAGATCTGTGGGAGAGTGTGCTCCTTTCTTTCTTCTTCATTAGCACACAGAAGAAATTACTTTCTTGCTGAACCCAAGTTCCAAACAATTCCTTGGAGCTTGACCTCAGAACTGAACACTGCAGTGGTGTTAAAGAGCAGGAGGATTTGACAGCATTAAAGAGACCAAAACTTGTTGCTAAACAATCTCCTGACTTTCCCTGGGGAGGCTGTCAGAGGAAGGGATTCAGTGGCTGCTGCCAAGCATCTGCATTAGCAGAAGATTCTCAGCATCATGAAGTACTCAGGCCAAGCTCTTTGCCAGAACGTGTGTCACTGAGATGCTCCTCTGGAGCCCTTCTCTTTATGGAGAGGTAACCTGTGAGACAGTGATGCTTTCAGTTGGCATCACTCAGGGTTTGCCTTCAAAGAATTGCTGCTGATCCCCACCAAGAGCTTTACTGCTGATTAAAATGCCTATACTTAGTCCAACAAGTTCACATTCTCCCTTTCCCTTTAGTTTACCCAGAAAATGGCCAGTTACTTAATCTGTGTTTTTAAAGCATCATTGCAGTGTGTCCTTGCTGGATTTTTGCACATTGTACTTATAAAAGAACAGATAATTTAAAGTTGCTTTTAATTTAGGGATCGTATTTGCCCCTGGTATGTTTAGACCAATTTTCAGCTTTGCCTTCTGGGTGTCTGTGCTCATCTCTTATCACCATGCCATCAGCTAGTAGCTATGATGCTTTGAAAATCTAAGCTTCAAGAGTGAGTCAGACTCTTCATGCCATTCATTTATCTTTTGCTACTTAAACCATCATTCTTAATACATACTTCAAATACAGTACTGGATTTTGGAGGCATTTGAGTTCTTCTTGTGTTATTTAGCACATCAGTGCTTCAGAGGCTCTGTTATAGTTGTTTAGGTCCATATGGCAGGCATCATATAAGCACAGGACATAAAGATGTTAGTTTTACACTTCAGCACAGCTCCCTTGCCGCTCTCTAGTGCATACCCAGGGTCTGAAATTCTGGATGAAATGTTGCATTTGCTTTACATCTGCTTGATAGTTGATTCTGGTTTAATATCACAGTCACTAGCCACAGGTTTGCTGTGTGTGAAAGGCCACAAAAAGGCACTTCCATTATATTACTGTTAAAGGACAAAACAGCTTTTGATATTAAGCTTATTGTATCATTTGGCTTTCCTGGATGTTTCTGCAAGAACTAGAGGTTTACCACTATTTCAGTGGCTACTTCAGGAATAAAGCTGTATGAGGTTCTTGTCTTTTTTTTATTGTTGTTTCTAGCTCTGGTTTATAAGAAAAAGGTGATTTTAGTGGTCAGGTGGAGTTCTAAATTTGCTTTAAGGTTTTTGCCTGTAATTCCTCTACTGTTCCACGTGTCAGCTCCAACATGTGAGCTGGCAAAGGGTTTGTTGCTCAATTTATGCCTTGTTCCGTTGCAGCAAAGGGATGAAGGACAGTAACAGGTTTAAACCATGTTTGTTGCATTGTTTGCAGCTATATTCTGTACTTTTATCTGAATTTTACAGTCAGCATTGACTTATCCATGCAATTAGTGTAAGCACCCCTCCACAAACATACACAATACTGCACTGCATGTGAGGCTGAGGAATGTTTTTTAACACGTACTTTAACTGTTACTTGTTGCATACAGATGCAAAGCTGTCATTTGTAAAAAAAACCCACTCTGTAGATCTTTCAAATAGCTCTGGTTTCTGCTGCTTTGTGATTGTTTTAATAAACATTCTGACAGGCACTTTGATAGCAAAGGAAATCAAGCAAATACCAGTCTACCGATATACAAGTACCGAGCTGCAGTCATGAGTAGTCACATGAAGTGACTCCCCTACTGCTTCTCCTCTGCTTGGAAGACTAGAAATAAATGGGGGGCTTTACATCAGTTTTAACACATATTACTTCAAAGCAGCATTTTGGGATCCGTTACTTTCATTATATACAAATTAACTTCTGAAAAGGGTTGTTTTTTTTTTTTTAAGTATGAAGCATTATTAAGTTGTAGAAAATTGAAGCTTCAGGTGAATTTGGAGTCATAGACTCTAAGAAACGGCTACATAAATGTGATGCGATTCAGGGGACCAAAATTAGGCATGAAGTTTTTTGTACAGTCCAAAGGAAGATACAGGTATCTTTGGCCTGTTATTCCAGAGCTCCTAGGACCTGAAAGGAACTCTGAGTTTCCTGCCTCCCCCTTCTGCTACTGC